GGGGGGGGGGCAGGGGGCTGCACACAGGTGCCGGGTCCATGCTTACCGAGCAGGACTGCAGATTGAGGCTCACGAGCTCGTGGCAGTGGTTCTGAATGTGTGTCAGAGCTTCGTCCTCTAACTGAGTGGAGGGCGGAAATGAAAGAGGGACGGGGTCAGGTCAAGATGACTGCCACAGCCAGGGCAACAGGCGACCGACCGACCGACCGACCGACCGACCGACCGGTGTCTGTACCTGCGTGCAACCCCTCAGGAGCAGGGCTTTCAGGCCCCGGCAGCCCCGCACCAGCGCCTCGATGCCTTCCTTTGTGATCTGGTCGCACCAGGACAGGTTCAGATACTCCAGGTTCCGGCAGCCGTCGCTGAGAGAACAAACAACAACGGCACCCTGTGCAGCCTCCTGCAGACAGTGCTCAACTCAGTACACCACCGCAGCCTGGAGACGACACAGCCCAGGGCCGCCTCAACCGCCTCGTCCTCACCGGGAGCCCCTGCCAATGTCTCCCACTGCGACGCTGGCCACACTAGTGCTGGGCTTGGGGTTTCTCTGTGTAAGTGCACATATGTGTGGGTGCATGTTGTGTGTGGCCAGAAGTTGACTTTGGGTGTCTTCCTCAATTGCTCGCCACCTTTTGTTACTAATTTTTACAAGAACAGTTGATTGTGATGAACTCACAAACAAGAAAACATGACACAGCTAGACTGAGTGAGTCGGTGATCCAGCCTCACACTATCCCTCTCCGCGGACTTCTATGCAGTTAGAAAGGCCATTCCAAAGCCACGGAGTTTCCCTTAGGATTTCGCACTTTCAGGATCAGTTACAATTTTATGTACTTATCCATCACAAAAATAAAAAATGATAGAATTGAAAACAGAAAATGATTGGCTTTAAATTGTCTTTTTAATCTTAAATTTGCGTGTTGGGGGAGGGGCAGGGTTATGTGCCTATGTATGCAGTTGCCCAGGGTGGCCAGGAGAGGGCATCATACCTCTGGATCTGGAGTTTAGTCAACTGAGCTGCCCAACACGGGCGCCGGGAACTTGGTTCCTCGGCAAGAGCAGTATGTGCTCTTAACTCCTGTGCCCTCTCCCCAGCCCCTGGCTTGATGCCCTCTTTCATGGCTCGTGTGCCCCTTTTCCTGCATTCCATCCCTCCTTATCACACAGGGTCTCGCACTGAACCTGGCTGGAGCTCCCAGACTCAGCTAGGCTGGCTGACCAGTGAGTCCCGGGATCCTCCTGTCTTTCCCTCCCCAGGACTGGGGTCACAGGCAGGTACCACCATTCCTGGTTGTTTACAGGGATTCTCGAGATTGCAACTTGGGTCTTTATTGCCTGACAGGCTGCACCACCTCCTCAGCCCACACTGGGTATTTTCTTGACCCCAAAAGTCAAGTGCTCTCACCTGATCCCCTTTAAGGAGTTGTTGGTAACAGACACGCAGGACGTGAGATCCAGGTGTTTCAGCTTGGAACAGAATCTGCTAAGGCTGTAACACGTGCTGGAAAAAGGCAGGCACACTAAAGATATTTTCAACCTTGTTTCTCACCCGGCTTCCCTGTGGCTGCTCTGTCCCCAGATCCATCTTTATTCCTTACCTGTCGGTGATTTTTGTGCAGCCATTGAGGTTTAAGTGTTCAATGTTTCGGCAGTTCTGCGCAAAGGTCCTAAAAGGGGTGGGGGCGGTAAAAGTTGTGTGGGTTTTTCCCCCAAAAGTAGCACAAAAAGCTTTAAAGCAAAAAGATGCACCGAGACCCGTGGCCACAGGGTTGCTGCAAGCTGCAGAGTGGCCACTAGAGGGCAGCACAACCATCCGCTTAGAGCAGCACTTTCCAAAGGCCACAGACTCCCTGGCAGATAGGGAGCTCAGTAACCTGGGACGCTCTCAGGCACTGCGTGCTACTAGCCTGGCACCACACTTTGAGAAACGAAGGCCCAAGCTACCTGTCAGTTAACCCTCCTCCGGCCCCATCTTTGGGATCATCTGAGATGGGAGGCCTGAAATTTCTCACTAGAAAAGTCAGTTTGCAGCAAGGGGTGAACTCCTTCCCGGCGTGCGTGCCCTGGGGGCACTCTGACACTGTCAGTATCTTTAGTATCAGACCCAGGTTTGCTGACAAGGACCCCACGGCGTGAAAGCTGCCTTGACCGTGGCTGACAGCATGGACAGAAGCAGAGAACCACACACCACTCCCACTCCTTGCAGGGTGCTCTCGGGCAATCTGCGTCTTCCTCAGATACAACTTCAGTCTCAGAGGACTGAGTCCTGGCTGCTTCATGGCCATGAGCATGTCATCTGCTTGCTTTGTCCTGCCAAGTAGAGGGATGGGGAACTAAACTGGATAAAATCCAACAAGTCCACGGTGATGTCAGGGAGTGTGAGTGGAACAGAATGCCAGCAGCTGCCATGCGTGGCCCTGACATTGGCATCTGAAGAACTACCCAAGGCTGCGGACAGAATCAGCTAGAAGGATGAAATTGAAAGATCACCAAGGTCCTTTGGTGGGTACAGAGGCTACTCCTACCTTCGAAACTTAAAAATATATCATTGTTTCTGGGATTGGGTAGTGAGAAGAGTCCAGCTTCAGGAATGCGGAAGTAGCCTAAATGAAATGCCACTCTGCCCAACCTTTTACTTTAATTAATTAATGGGGGGCTGAAGAGATGACCAGTGGATAAGAGCACTTCCTGCTCTTGCAGAGGACCTGAGTTTGAGTCTCAGCATCCACAAGGCTGCACAACATCTATAACTCCAGTAACAGGGAATCCAGGGTCCTCTTATGGCCTGTGTACTATGTACTATGTACATGTGGCATACACACATATGTGCATACAAACACTTGTACACACAAAACATTTCCAAGTCTTTCATTAATTAATGGACTGATTTTCGTGGTGCTGGGGATCATGGGCCTCCAACATGCTCCACGAGCATACTGCCATTCTTCACCCTACCCGCCCCAAGCCTAACAAAGGATATGACCCAAAAAAGAAGTTAAAACAGTGCAGCTGCATCCCAGACCTAAACTCCATAGAGCATTTATAGGAACAAAAACTGCTCCATACCCAAGAAGGTAGAATTCATGATGCCCGCCCAACACCGAGCAAAACCCTGTGTGCTTTCAACGGCGAGGAAACTAGATCTACAAGGACCAGAGATCTCTCTATCCTCTCCTACGCAAGCCTGATAGCAAAGACAGCAGCAGCAGGCCAGGGCACTGAAAGGTTGGCTTTACCCAGAACGCTGCGGGGCTACAGTGCCGAGTGAAGACATTTCATGGAGACATGAGAGGGTTTTGTTCATTCGAGAGGAAGACATGTTAAACATGACTGTGATGCAAATGTACTGATGGGCTGGTTAGCAACACATTAGATGTGGTAGGTAGAAAAAAGACCGGTGAGTCCGCCAAGAGCAGGGCCAGGCCATGAGCTAGTGGTACAGCGTTTGCCTGGTGTGGCCGAGGCCATCTGTGTTTACAAAGTGTGACTGACAGCAAGACACAGATACACCAGAACAGCAGCAAGTCTACGGCAGAACCCAACCCGAGTGCGAGCCTGTGCTACACAGAAAAACCAGTTCTGGTCGGGGCAGGGCTGGGTGGGAGAGTCCGGCATGAGTGACCCTGGGTTCAGTCACTAACAACTGCCCCTCAAATACTCCAAATAGATCTATGTTTAAATCAGAAAACTTCTAAGGGGTGCGGAGCTGTAGAGGCCCAGCAGTCGAGAACCCTGGCTGCTTTTGCTATATTGGGTAGCTGTTCTGTCTTTGACCTTGAAGCACTGCCTATGACCTTGTAGTCCATGCCCCTGGGGCGTGGTCTCTCAGCCACCTTAAGACCTGAGATGCCTCTCTCTTCACTCCCTCATGGACTTGGATGTGGGACTGACTGAGACAGCAGACTGTGCCCAGCATTCCAGACCTGCGACAATTCTGTTCTGTACAGTGAGTTTTTCTCCCCAAATAAATTCCTTTGCCCTAAGCAGACTCCGTGGATTTCTCGTATTATTTTGCAGAGGACCTGCATTCAGTTCCCAGCACCCACATGGCAACTTACAACTCCAGTTGGAGATTTGGCGCCCTCTTCTGGCCTCAGTGGGCACCGAACACACATGGTGCACCGTCATGAAGGCATCAACGCACACACATAACGAAAACAAACCAATCTTAAGGACTTTTAGAAGAAAAGCACAGGTCAGCGTGTTTGTGACGTCGGGTGAGGCAGCAAGTTCTTGGTTCTACAAGCAAGAAGATGGCGAAATGTCTTCCATCGAAAACTTCACTTCGGGGGCTGGAGGGATGGCTGAGCAGTTAGTCAGCAGACCTGCTGCTCTTCAGAGGATCCAAGTTCGGTTCCCAGCACCCACGTGGTGGCTGTCAACTGTCCATAACTCCAGTTCCAGAGGCCAATGCCCTCTCCTGGCCTCTGCAGACACGATTATATACAATGAACATAAATCAATGAAGGTCCACACACAAACACAAAATTTAAAAATTAAATAAATCTGTAAAGGAACTTCCCTTCAGACAGGCAGTTAGAGACTGGGAGAACGCATTTGCAAAAGTACTTTGACAAGCACTGGTATCCAAAAATGTCTTAACTCTCAAAAACAGCAGGCAGTGGTGGTTCACACCTTTAATCCCAGCACTGGGAGGCAGAGGCAGGGGATCTCTGTGAGTATGATGACAGCCTGGCCTATTGAGAGAGTTCTAGGACAGCCAGGACTGTTACATAGAAAAACCTTGTCTCAAAAAAAAAAAAAAAAAAAAAAAACCCTCTCAAAAATCAATAAGACAACCTATGAGAAAAATGGGCACATGACCTAGACAGACATTTCCCCAAGATCCATGGACAGTGAGTCAGCATAGGAAGACATCCAGCAGCATCAGGACCAGGGAACTGCAGGACAACCACAAGATGCCACTGTGCATCACGAGGGCCAAAGTGAAAAGATCACGCCACACTAAAGGTTGTCAGGAACTGTAGAGTCACAGGTCACCGTGGGAACTTAGAGGAGTACATTCTGCTGTGAAATAGATTGGAAGCGTCTTAAAAGTTTAAGCTGGGGGCTGGGGGACACTGAGACGGATCGTCAGGTAGCAACGCTTGTTGCCAAGCCTGACGTCACTGCAGCAGATCCCTGACTGACCGTCACTGCACAGGACTCCCCATTGAAGATCCCTGAGTGACAGTCACTGCACAGGACCGCCCACTGCAGATCCCTGACTGACAGTCACTGCACAGGACTCCCCATTGCAGATCCCTGAGTGACAGTCACTGCACAGGACCGCCCACTGCAGATCCCTGACTGACAGTCACTGCACTGGACTCCACACTGCAGATCTCCTGACTGACAGTCACTGCACAGGACTCCCCA